GGGGAATGATTAAACTGTCTTGCAGGGCAAAGCGGAGAGGCGTCATCTGACAAGCACCGCAGTGGAAAGTCAACAGCAGTGACTGGACAGAGGCAGAGTGGAGGCAGAGCGAGGCAAACACCCATCAGGGTGAATCACAGAGTGAGAAGAAAATTACAACTTATTAAAAATTAGATGACGTTTACTAATTGTATCACGACAGAATGGCTTCTGGTGCTGACAAATGTGATTTCTTGACTAGTCGAACAACTAGACGTCCAAAACTGTTGAGTAAATTCATTCTTATGCTATTATAAGAAACATCAGGGTTGCAACGCCGGTAAGCATGATGCAGGACTGAGTAATGCCACCTGGTATAACTTCCCAGGTTAACTGTCAGGTGAGTTACAAAGACCTGACTGAGACAGGTGAGGTCAGGTCAGGTGTCGTTAAAACAGGTGAACACAAAACCCGGACTTCTCGTTACTCAGTTTCCACTCATCCCAAGGTCACAAAACATCCAGCTCGCTTCTGAGCCTCAGTAACAATCCCTTACTGGGATACATCCAAATAAAGCCGGCCTTCCTCAGGACCTGGACTTTCCACCGCAGGTCAAAAACACACATGGGGTTTTGGCCTCAAAGAAATTTTCCAGGCAGTATCGCAGCAATGATTACACGCCCCGCTTCACTCGTTTCTGCACTTTGCCTTCGTCCACGGCTGCTCAGCCTGCTCATAAATTAGTAAATATCCTGGATCAGAGTTCAGTTGGAGTGAGATTAAGACAATTTGTTCTTCTCGGAAGAACACAGATGAGCATGTGCCTTATTAAACCCACCAGAGTGCAGCAGCTGTCGCAGCATCAGCACTTTCGCAGCAGATCACTCTGTGTTCTTGCAGATACTTCAAAACAACTTTTGAGGTGCTAATTACTACCTGTGTTTGCGTGTGTGTGTGTGTGTGTGTGTGTCCGCTCTGTACGCAGATAATAAGTGGTTTTATGAGACTCTTACTCAGGCAGTAATAGGCCAAGGTATGACTTCACATGAGGGGACTGTATTTTGAGAGGCGTCAGCTGTGTGCCGGCTCATGTAAATATGTCATTAGCAGTGACAACAAGTAAAGGTTGCTGTCGTCCACCGACATACTTACAGTTAGCGCTACATCTGCTGGTGCCGCCCCCTGGCAAAGATGCGAACAAAAACATCTGGATGTGTTTTGGTGTCAGGAGACCTGGAGGTAGATGCCACTATTTGCTGCTCCTTCACCATCACGCATCGTCTTCCAGCCTTGCTGGAGTCCAAGATGTATTAAACTTTTTATTATTGATCTAACAGTAGGTTTGGACAACTGTTGACGAGCAGCCATGCATTTTTTACACCTTGCTCACTTTATGAGCAAAGTGTATTCTGCTTCTCATGATAACATCCATCATCATCATCATCATCATCACCTCCATGTTGCGAGCAAAAATCATCTCAAAATGTTTTCATTGATGAGTTACAGATGCTTATTAGAGAATAAAAGTGTGTAGAGAGAACAGAGTAAACAGTACTTCTCAACCACTTGGCTCATAGGAGTTAATTTAAAAAAAATTGTGTGGTGTTGCTAAACTAAATATCACCTACACTTGTTACATCAGACTCCCACATGGGATAAAATTACCACCAGTTTGCTTTCTCGTGCGTCGTGTGGGTGACCCAAACTTGAAATCTCACTGCAGCTTCTCCTGCTTCAGTGGACACTTAATTATGTTTCCATCAGTGAAACGAAAAGGCGGCGAGATTAGAAACGACTCGGATCTGAAAGGGTGTGCTGAACATGGGGAAAAGACGACCTCTGATTTGAAGGGATCAACATGTTTTCGAATTGAATGCAGATTTGATTTTATGACGGAGCCCTCGGTGCTTATTGTGTGACAGCAAGCTGGGATTTGTCACAGGATTTTGATGCTCCAACAAGCTGAGTGTTAATGCAGAGGAAACAGCATCAGAGTTCATCTTAGAAAGTGTTGCTCTTTCATTCGTTTAATCCTGCTGGCAGATGACGGAAATGCAAATTGCACTGCAGAAAGCAGAACATTTGAAGAGACAAATGTTTAAATAAATGTTGTAATTCAGATGAGTGTAACGTTATTTATTTCTTTTTCCTGCTGTAAAAGAATCAAACAATTATTTAATCAACTTCAAGAAAGGTTTAAATTCCAACTGTCAGGAATGTGAATAATAAAATTGGGCTGTCCTGTAGTTCTGCAAACATTTAGCGACTTTTAAGTTGGATTCATGGCAGAAAAAACATATATAATCATAGACCCAGCAAATATAGATGAAATTTAAAAAACAAAAATCTAAATTAAATATCCTTTATATTTCAGTGTAATTTATAGTCAGGTCACAGGACCTGAACCTGTGACCTGTGACCTGCATAAGGTCACGGGTTACAGCATTGTAATTTACTGCGGCTCTCAAAAGTTACGCAAAAATAAGTAAACAAATAAAAATAATAAAAATATGATGTAAACAGTTCATTTTTCTTAACTGCGTCTAAAAATACTGAGAGATTTACGTCGTCTGAATCAAGTGAAAATCAAATGTGTGAGCAATGATTTAGATGCACCATCTTTAAGTTTAAGGTGAGAAACTGCAAACATTAACAACAGCTGCAGCTTTCATCCATATCGTCTCTTCTCCTCCACATCCCATTTCTCAAGTCAATAGCTTCCAGACTAATACTGTCCTTTAGGTTTTTGTCCTTTCCAACTTGTAAAATTAGACCATGTTACTCCTTCACAGACTCATTTGGTCTAAAAGATGCAACTGAGGAAATATCTGGAAAACCTTGTTAGGACAGCTGAACTTGTTTCTCTGAAGATTACAGCAGGCAGGAACTGAAGAGCATTCAATTATGTGACTCAACAAAGTGTTAATTTGATGGGGTGCACATTTGTAAAATCAAGTTATTGTAGCTCTTTATTTTTTTACACTTTCCCCTCAATTAAATGTGTTTTTTTTTCTATTTAATAGTACAAAATATGTTGCATGTAGGAATCGTTTTTAATGTACATCTTTATTTTTAAAATGAAACTTGCTATTTTATTTAACCGCCACAAACTTTCCTAGATGTAGCTTTTCCTTTTCTCTGCCTGTAGGAGGCGCCAAAGCCCTTTTATGAATCCACAAAAGTAAAGCTGCTAAGCAGTTTCATGTTGTTTCCACTTTTTAGCAACGTACTAAACATTCAGAAAGACTCTTTAACAACTAAGATGCCATAAAATATGTGTTCTTATCAAACCCAAGCACTGCATAAACAGAGCCTGATTGTAAATGCCACAACTTATTCTGTGTTTATCGTTAGAGACCCAATGGATGCTCAGCGTGAGAGATTGATGCGGGCAATGAAGCAATGACAGCGAGCAGCTGTTGTATTGAAGTAAAATAGCTTGATCTTTTCATTGACATTTCAACCAATTCCCAAGCATTTAAAGAAAACCACTTGCTAAACAAAAGGAACAAAAGCATTTCGGTTTTCAGGTGACGCTGAAATGAAACTTTCTCACACAGACGACACAATGATTCCTTTTGTTGTTCAGCCTGTTTGCTGTTCATTGTTTGTGTTGCACCAGTGGCTTCCAATTATTATCGGAACGTTTTACCTGAAAGCTAAATGCCATCATGACGGATGTGTTGACTCGCATCCGTCATGATGTGAGGCGACACATCATGACGGAAGGTGCATCTACTGAGTAGTAGTTTGTAGGTTTTACAACGTATTCAACCTGGTTTTTTGCAGCTCATTTTATTTCTTATTTTTACTTTTGCATTTCCCTCTTAGCTTATATGTTTGTCGATGGATTGTATTTCATACAAAAACTGACATTATAGGTGGAGGAAGTTGAAATGATTTCGTGCCTGAAACGTTGCAGGGATGTGTAAACTTTTAAAAGCAATTGTATGACGGATTGTAGCTGATCTTTGCCGTTTGGGAAAGCGGTACTGCTTCAAGGAAAGTGTCTTAAACTGAACCATGAAGCACCATCCATGGGAACAAACCGACCATAAAGAGTTACGCTGCACGTAAAGTGCCCTGTTTGTACGTTGCCAAGACTGTGTTGTCTGGCTACTGTTGATCCCTGATGATTTACCTTAACAGCAGATTCTCATGTGTTTTGACTTTAGCTGTCATGTACATTCGCGGTGCACACACTCTGGCTCGTATTTGTCAGAGGTCTAGTCAGTGTTAGCTTCATATTTTGATCTCAATGCAAATAGAGGATGGTTGAGAATTTTATAAAACAGGAAAGCTCTTTCTATTTCTTAATGCTAAGGTGATTTTGGATCAAGAGGCTAAAGATGAAGGCCAGCAGTTTGTCAGTGGAGGAGTGTGCTTGGACATCCAAGGAGTGCCATCTAGTGGACGGAGATCTGCAAGGCGCTTTCCAGAAGGAGAGGGTTTGCTTACCAAACGTCTTCAGGCCCAAAAAATGGAAGTCACTGATAAAGACGGAAACAAGCCCCAGTTTTCAGGTTTACTACACATCCAGAGAACTTTTCCTGGAAGCGCTGGACGTAGAAGCCATGAAGGAGCTGATTAGGAGATCTGCAGGAACGAGGGCCGGAGCTCAGAGACTTCCACACAGCCTGAGTAAGGAGCGGAGCATCTCTGTCTCTGACGGGGAGTACGGCGAGGCTTTAACATTGTTCTCCATTGTTCTGCAGAGTGGTTTGTCTCTCGGGGACAGCTGCGCCTTTGCATCTGAGTTGACCCTGAAACTGGACAGACAGCACGGTCTCCTGAAGAGAAACAGCATCCACACCCACCTGCTGTCTCTGACCAGGCTGAAGCATGAAGACAAGCTGGAGGCTCTCTCTGCTTTCTGCAAGCATTTATTCCGCCGCTACCAGACTCTACACAACCCTGGTCCCAAACTGGCGGTGAAAAAATACACGCTCTCCCACCAGCATGGCCTTTGCTCCCTCCATCTCGCCCTCCTCTGTGACTCAAACTCAGGCTTCATCTGCAACATGTACCTGTACTCTCCAGAGCAGCTGCAGACTCAGAGTAACACGCCTGTCGTTGCACAAGTGGTCAAACGATTGGTAGAACCTTTCTGCGGCCAAGGCCGGATTGTTCAGCTGGACAACTCAGCGAGGATGGAGGGCAGACTCAAAACAATCCTTTCTGAATTGCAGATTAACATTCAATTGCCACCATCAGAAAAAAAGCAAACAATATCCCTGCCGTCACCTTCATCTCTGTGTGAAACTTCAAAGGAATCAAACTCAGAACTCACAGCCCACCTTCAGGGCTGGACCGGACCTGCTCTGCTCCCTCTGTCGGACCTGAGCGGGTCTGGGGCAGACGCGTTCATGCCGGGCTTTTGGGCGGCCCTCCACACCGTCTGCATCAACACGTTCGTGCTCCACACTCTGCAGAGACGGGCCCCAGGCCGGACGGTTCCTCTGCCAGGGTTCACCAGGGCTCTGGCCTCTCAGCTGGCCGCGGGCAGCAGCAGCGTGGCCATTCCCGTCCTGCCACCACTGAACAGCTGCTCCGACCAGGAAACCACAAATCTTTCAAAGCAAAGGTCAAGTCACGTTTGTTTGATTGCAGTCTTTGCTACATGAGAGGAGTAAAAACCTTTCTTTCTCCATAATTGAATTTCTGCAACGATAGTGAGACGTTTACAGCAGCAGAATCCATTACAGTCAGCAACACATTCAAATGAGCTCTTCCTAAAAAGTCTACATCTGAGATGTTTTGTCAATAATTCTTTAGTGTTGATTTTAAAAAGTATTAATTCTACTGGCAGATTTTTTATCTTAAAGCAAGACATTTTCCGATGTCATGAGTAAAGAATCTGCCGGTGGAAAGAGTCGTTTTTTTAATCTAGATTCAAAAATCAAAAACCAAGCTCCTAAACCTGCTAGTAAGAATCTACTAGGCAGTTAGCTTTGTCTCATTTTAAGACGAAACTAACTTACAATTTCTAAACTTACAAGTTTCTATGAGAAACTGGTAATGAAAGTGCCATCAAAAAACAGCATTATCAAATCTCATCTTCTGATTTCCAGTTACATTCATATTGAATTACCAATGTTTTACTTTTGTAGTACTTTTTCTGTTATAAAATAGTTACCACTTTGAAAAAAAAATATAAAAATCCAGGACAGTTTAGAGACAAATTAGGGATTAAATTAAGGTGATGTTTTTCTAAGTGACATTTCTAAGGACTTGTTGCTTCTTCCCTGAAAGCGAAGCTGTTGTTTCTATTTTCAAGTGAACCGCATTCAAACCAGAGCATTGCCACGATTGAGTCGACTTGGTTTGTGGCATTCTGCTTGTTTTCTTTTGAACGGCGTGGATCCAGAATGCTGGGAACTGGTGTAATGTCTCCGTTACCAGGCTACCGTTCGATCTGGCAGGAACCAAAATAATCTGGCCTGGTAAACGAAGGCTTTTTTTTTTTTTTTCCCCCACTGTCGAACCGAACTGACCATGATTGACAGTACAAAGTAAAAGGCTGATGCATGTTCTTCTGTCTGTGACGCTGCAGGTCAAACACAAATGGCTGTTTTCGGATGATGGAGGGCACGAGCTACAACTTGAGAAGTAGGCCATCCACGCCATCGAACAAGCAGGGCAAACCAGGAGTTGTTGGGTTAGACAACATCGGCAACTCCTGCTACTTCAATGCTGTGATGCAGTGCCTCTGCTCAACCATGCCCTTTGTAGAAGACCTCCTCTGTCACGCGACGCGCAGAGACCTGGAAAAGTACGGGGCGGCCCACACACCACCTCTTCTCTCGTAGGCCCAGATCGGACGAGCTTTCCCCAGTGATCTGACCTCTCTGTCCGTGCAGGTGCGACTGCAAGATCGCGCAGGTTTTCATCCAGCTTCTGGACCAGATGTGGCAGGGGACTAGCACCAGCTGCTCCCCTGTGCAAGTCATGTCTGCGCTGCCCTCCGTCTTCCCGCAGTTTGACAGCTACACCCAGCAAGACGCTCAGGAACTGCTGCTCCACCTCCTGGACGCCCTGCATGAAGACTTAAAAAAGGTGCATGAACATCTCTCATCTACAAACACTGTTCTCAGATTATCCAATTAAACAATTTCTAATTAATTAGTATAACTTTTAATGTATGGTTAATGTCATGTTTTATGCTTATGGGAGTCCAATGCGATGTATTTAAGATTTTTGGGGTTTTTTTCTTTTATGATTTGGTTTGATGTCCTGTTTGCAATTTTGCTCGATTCCTGTCAAGTGTCACAGTTTTTAGAAAAGCGGTATAGAAATAAAATGTATCAATATTATTAGTAGTAGTAGTAGTAGTACCAGTAGTGAAGAATTAAGTTCCAGTTGCATTTTAAGAAAACAGCTCAACTTTTCAAGTTTGCACTCCTTTTCCCAGTTCATATTTGTGTTCATTTGGTTGCAAAACGTCAGATGCATTTGTCAAGAAAACAGCCAGGAAAGAAACAGAGCAGAAACTCCAAAACTGAGTCCACCCTTGTCTCGGATCTGTTTGAAGGCCAACTCAGCTACCTGACCAGCTTCCTCCACTGTGGTCACGAGGCGCACAACAATCAAACCTTCACTATACTGTCACTTCCCATCCCAAACGACAAGAAGTGCACCATTCAGGTACGTTTCGCCAGATTCATCGCAGGGTCCTCTTCTGGGTCCTGGTGGTTCGTCCTTACCTTCACCCAGTTTGTGTGTCTGTGCAGGATTGTTTATCCCTGTTCTTCGAGGAGTCGGTCCTGACTGGGGCCGAGCAGAGCGACTGCTCATACTGTGGCCGAAGGAGAGAAGCAACAGTGCAAACTTACTTAAACAAACCTCCAGAGATTCTCATTTTGCACCTGAAACGGTGGGTAAGAACATCATCGAAGAATACTACAGCTGTGATTCTTAAGTTCATATTGAATTTGTTCAATTGGATCTAATATCTCACCTACTGATCCACGAAGAACAGCATCCAATTGGGATTGAAATCTTTAGACAAAACTTGTACGTAGTTAGTGGGACTGCACACTGGGGCTTAAATAATTAGCTTCAGTTATCGTTTTTTGCCTTATTCATTATTAAGCAACATGTTAGCTTTGACCAAAGTGAAGAAATAGCCTGCTTTCAAATTATTTTTTTAATTTAATTAATTAATTTATTTATTTATTTATTTTGCTTTTACTGTACTTTCTTTAATCTGTTAAAAGGTCTATTAAAGAAAAATACAATATCTTCAAAGTGACAGTAAATGCGGGTTTAGGAATTGGCCTTCATTGTAAAAATGGCTGACATTAGTTAAAGGGGCAGTATTATGAAAAGTCAACTTTTTATTTATTTATTTATTTTTGTTAGCTTTACATCATGTTATAATAATGTCATTCCCTCGTCAAAAACATACCTGGAGTCCTTTAGTCTCCTGTGGCAACCACTGAGCTGTGCTGAACGCCAGGAGGGACCGAGCGATGCAACTTCCCCACTCAGCTCCTTCAGACTAGTCAGCAGCAATTAGCAAACACCTGGAGGAACTGTGCATAGCTGGTCGAAACATTGTTAAAGGGTTAATAGAGGACAGATGAGATGACTTCCTGAAGGCAGACCGTTGGAAAGAAGAGCATGACATTTTTAAAGAGACAGTGGCCCAATTTGAAGGCATTAAAAGACAGTCACATTACGTTTTAGACATATTTGATATACAGCATTTGTACACCAACTGAAGGTAACACAGTTACTTGATTATACTGTAAAATGTGACTGGAAAATACATAATGCTGCCCCTTTTAGTGTTTTACCAAGTGCCTCAATGTCCCTGGAGGCAGAATGTAAATGTATTTATTGATCTAACGTAATTATCTCCTTTAAAGGTTTTGCTGCAAGGGCAGGAGACAGGTCAAGTTGTCAGCCAACGTGTCGTTCTCCATGGAGCTCGACATCACTCCGTTTCTGTCCGGCTCGGTGCGGAGACGGCCCTCCTACCATCTGTATGCTGTTGTGGTGAGTGATCAGGCGACAGACTGCAACAAGCTGCATCACTGCTGTCATCTTGGTGTTCAAAGTCCTTCTTCAAGGGGTCGGCATCCTGCATGTTTCAGTTCTCTTCCTGGTTCATCACGCAACGTCTTAATGTTCTCATGAAACATTCAGATGAAGTAGATACAGTTGAAACCCATTATTTACATATGTCTTCTTTATTACTACCTGAAGTCAAATCAGACTTCTATTGTTTTGGTTAGAATTACCAAAGTTATTTCCTTTTGCTGAATGGCTCAGTAATTAGAACATATCAAATATTGATTTATTAAAGGGGCAGTATATTATGTGGTGACATTTCATAGCACAGTCTAGTAACTATTTTTACTTCATCTGTTATAAAAATGCTGCAAATGTATCAAACGCAAGTTAAAATAAATTAGACTTTGTAATTTGACACCTTTAAATTGGGCATCCGTCTCTTTAAGAAGCTCCCGTTTTTTCTGACACTCCGCCTTGTGCATGTCGTCACAACATGGCTCCTCATTATTTCGTTAAGAAATAGTCTTAGAGGCCCTGGACCGAGAAGCAGCTTGTGGAAGTTCAGCAGACATTACCGCCATTTGCTTGTTGCTGCTGCCGCTAGTCTGGAGGAGCAGAATGGGTAGGAGGAGGAGGTCTGCTATGAGACGGGGTCTTGGCTGGAGGCTGCAGCTGCAAGGAGGGGCTTTGTAGAAATAAAATTCACAAAACTTGCAATTGAGCATTAAACAAATTCACTTTCACTGTGATGCCTTTTGGTTAATTTCTAAATTATTAAAATAAATTCTAAAATATTCCTTTGTAATCCATGCCACATTCCAAGATTTGGAGCCAAAAGACAAGTTCTGAAATAGTCCTTAGAATTATGCAAAGCGTTGTGACTTTGATATAGCACATCACAGTGTTGTGTCAAAGATGTAAAACCTTGAAACGTCAACATGCAAACATTTTCCATTTTTCCCCAAACCCATCAAAACTTGGAAATCTGTCAATCTACCAGACAAGAAAATGACTGTCTCATCCCAGGCGTTGGTCAATATATTTATGAAGTTTATGTACTTGAGTAACTCGCTTCACAGGAGAAACATGATGTTTTATATCTTTTGAAGATTTCTTTCTTACAGTTGATGGAAAGATGGCATTTAAGATTTAAATTATCGGACCAATATAAAAAAAATCTTAAAGCAGAAATGTGGGTCTAATGAAAAGATTAAAACCTGCTTAATGATTTTTCTTTTTTAAAAAAAGCTACTTATAATCCGATTTTAAAAACTGGAACCCATGTTCTAATTTATTGTACACAAATACGTGCTTTCAAGTTGGTGTGGAAACCACATAAAGGAAAGCAAAATAAAATGTAAAGAATTAAATACAAAGACAAATGAACCATTTTCTTTCTCCAGATCCACAGAGGTAACCTGGACATGGGTCACTACACGGCTCTGTGCTACAACTCGGTGCTGGAGACGTGGCATTGGTTTGACGACTCCCTCGTCAAGGAAGTGAACGGGAACATCGTGCAGTCTCCGGACGCTTACATTCTGTTCTACACCTGCAACCCTTTCTAGACCCAAGAGCTCTGAAATCTCCATCCTCAGCGACAGATAAAATGCATTGCCACACGAACGCAAAACTTGTTGCTTCTTCTCCAGCTGACTCCTCTATAGAACGGAAAAACAAACAAAAAACAAAAAAACAAAAAGCTTATACAGCGTATATCCTTATTCTGGATCAAATCGGAAACAACAACAAAAAAAAAATCGCACAGAATTTATTTGAAGCAGTTTTAATAAATAGTCATACAAGTTGTTTTGAGGTTAATATAATCATGTTAAACAATTTGCATTTAGAGAATTAAGAATAAAAGATTGAATGAAGAAAAGAAAACTGATTATAATTTCATGCCAGGCCATAAAAGTTTACTCAGAAGTAGTTAAATCCTTTTAGCTCTAGATCTCGGCTCCATTAAGAAGCAACATCAGTCTCGTTTATTGTTTCTCACATAATCGTTTGGTCAACGCTGAAAATCCACTCAGTTCTTCATATCATCAGGCTCAGTACACAAAAACAACATAACGCAAAAAAAAAAATAATAATAATAATGTATGAATAAGATTTAGATAATCCATCCCATTAAGTCACACTCTTAATAGTGTTTGAATATGATAAATCTGAAGGTAAATATAACATTACAGGAACATGTTGAGTGTTCTGCACTGGTTGGAGTGAGACAGATGAAATCCCAGCATCAGCATCGATTTAAAGCATTCTGGGATGGAAATTAAGATCTGCTGTCCAGATAATGTGTTTTACGTTAACTTAAAGCGATTGCATATTGAATGTGCAAGAATGTGGGTTAGTATGAACAAGCAACAACTGGCCTCCTCTTAATCTCAATAAAAGATCACACAGCCTCTCCTATTGCCTTCAAACAGCAGAAGTTTATACAGTTAGAGCCCAGAAGCCAATGGTCTGTCTTCACTAATATGGTCATGTTTCACTGGCTGCTACTCTTAGAGGAGAGAAAAAAACAACAATTTGGTCAAGACAAAATTATTTACACAGAAACATCTTTAGTGTGCGACCTCTGCATTGCTAAGACTGTACATGGCATCTAACTGTTAATCCTGCGTATGCAGTCGCTGCTATCTGCAACAGAAATGACTGAATCGACCGTCGGCCCTAACACAACTATGGTAAAGAAGTCAGATTAGCATGAGCGTCGGTTTAGCTTCTGGATGATCAGTGATGTATACAGGTGGCATCGTTTTGACAGCTAACGGGTCCTCTAGTAGCTGAAGCGCTGCACAGAGTGCCTCCGCTGTTCACTCGTCATGATCCCAAAGTGGCTCGCTCCATCGCGACCTCCCGTGTCCTCCATACATGATCGATTAACCACAACTAACGTCGCGCCAGGCTCTTCACGGAGCGGAAGAAAATAACCTCTAGGCTTAAGCGTGGCTGCTGTGCGGTTGCTCCTCGTGTCGCGCGGCGGCTTCACAGGGTGGAGTAAAACAGGATGTAGGCTGCGGACGACTTGACCGAAGACGAGGAGATTTCCGTCACTTCGTGGTCATCGAACTTGTACCAGCGCTGCTTGAGGGAGTTCTTACAGTAGGCCGTGTAGTGGCCGCCGTCTAAGCCCCCGTAGTGATTCTGCAGTGGAAAAAGACAAAGGTTAGATTGAGATTCACTTCCCCGCCTGCAGCAGTTTGGCCTCGTCCCTACTCACAGACACGGCATAAAGGTTGTATCTCCTCAGGTTCTGCTTGGGCCCGATAACATACTGGGCCAGGTCCAGACTGTCTAGAGGGAAATCGACAGATGTTTGTAGTTTTTGCCTCCATCGGCCTTCGTAGGAGAACCTGCAGAAAGAGGTTAAGCGAGTTAAAAGTCTGTATTTCCCATAATACTCATAACCTCCTGCATGGACGACAGACCGTTTTAAGTGAACCAGGACAATAGGAGGAACCTTCCAGATCTCCAGCTTCTTGGTGGAATCTCTGTGGGCTTTGCAGTGTCTGCAGAACACCTTGTTGTTGTCGGTGAGCTTTTCCTCTTTAGAGAACAACCTCAGACAATCCTGCCAACAAGAGAGCAGAGAAATATTGGAGAAATGTCATAAAGTAAAACTTTTAGCACCCAGATTCTGCATGAATCGCCTTTTTGTCTCTTCCTACATTCATATGTGGGCAAACCATTTCATATCCATGTACTGCCATAGAGTTATTCTGGAATAATTAACATAAATAGTTATGAAAAATACTCAAATATCACATTTAATTTAACTTGACTGTAAATTCTGGTTTGGAAAACCCAGGCTAACATACCAGGTTTTTTGTAAAGCAAAGAGCAAAACAAAAAAAAATATTTTAAAGAGTTTTCAACATATCACAATAGAGAATAGAGAAAAAAACATGAAAGCAAAGCTCGATTAAACTAATTGCACACTTGTATACACTCTTGAACTGGCATTTGTACTTTAGTCTCTTTGTCTCACCTGCCATCAATAATAATAAATGAAATAAAGTCCAGTTGCCAGGAGGATTTCCTTTACATTTAACTTATTGTATTCTCTAGCTTAAACCACTGGAGCTAATTTCTGGTCCAAAAGAAAAGCATCCAGACCCAAACCTTCTGGTGGGATGTGAGTTAAATGAAACTAAATACAGGCTCTTGTGCTAAAAAGTTGTGTTTGGTACATAAATGTCCACCAGGTGGCAGCAGAATGATCTGAGGTTCCAGCCCAAGCCTCCACTAAGCCAAATTTGGTTTTGGGGCCCTCTATTTCTGCTAATAAAGGGGCCCCGGGGCCCTAAGCGGCTGCTTAGTTTGCTTATGCCTTGGGCCGGCTCTGATTCTTCAGACTGAACTGAAGTTTTATGTTAATGTGAATGACGATTGAAATACCAGTGAGCTTTGAGGCGCGCATAATCTTAAATCTAAACTCTTCAAAAAATGACTTCCTGGGAAGAAAATTAAAGCCAAAATGCAAACTGACTCAGAGAATCTGGGAGCTCAGATGAAAAAGTTTAGGGACAAGTCATGTTTTTACTGTGAGATATAAATGGAGAACTTAGCTAATTTGATCAAACCGAAGAAGACAAAATAAAACAAACACTTTGCAGTAGTTGGAGAGAAAACATGTCGTGACTGACCTGCAGGGAGCACTTGCTGGTGGAGGCCAGAGGCAGTGACAGGTACATGAAGGTCTCAAAGGTGCGCGATTTGCGATGGCAGGTCAGACACTGGACCGTGGACTTGAACTGACCCTGGAACAGCGCCACGATGATGGACTCGTTCAGCAACTTGTGCTTGTTCCAGGCCACGTTGGCCGCATTCTGGTCATCCAGGTGGTCGTTTTCCTCCTCCTTGTACCGCTTCCTGTTGTCGGCCTGACAACAGAGAGGCAAGAAAGCAAAACTTAGTGGCACACAGCAAACCGCTACATGTCGGGTTAGTAACGCATGCCTTCAGGGTTCATCTAAAGCCGTCAGAAAAGACCCAAAGAACTTCCTGTTTGTATATAATATACACTGCCAGGCCCAAAATAAAGAACCATCACATCTAATTAAACAAACAAGTTGTTGTGTTTGTGCTGCAAAGTGTTGATTTCTCAAATAAGTGAGTGTTGAAACATCTTATGAGATGAAAATGAGTGAATCTATTGAGTTAAACGTCGAAAGATTGATTAAGGGGACATGAGATCATTTTCACAGATAAACGAGCCACAACATGATTTAGGACTTTTAGGATTCCTTCACTGCTAATGAACATCAACAATCCAACATCTGCTGGGAAATGAATGAAGGCAAGCTTAGTGAAACTGCTCCATTTAGCCAGCATGCCATAATCCTAACTGAAAAAAAAAAAAACCCCTAGGTATATTCACATGCGATCAATTTAACTTGTAATTATATAAGTGGTAGTTTGAGGAAAATGTAAATGTGTAGTTTACATTTTGGTCAGGGAGTGTCAACGAGATCAATCCAACCATGAAAGGGCAGGAAAATATTCAGTGCCCCGCAAAAGTAATCACACCCCTTTAACTTTTTACATTTTGTTGCATAGCCACAAACTTCAGTTTATTTTATTCTGATTTCATAGGAATAATTAACACAAAGAAACTGAATAATAAGGAAAATTTATAACTTAACTTTTTTTTTTCTGTAAATGAAATAATTTATTTACCTAATTAGTAAACACTCATCTCAGGACTCTAGGACATTAATCCTACAGTACACACCATTTTGTGTTGATTTATCGCAAAGCTACAATAAAACACACTGAAGTTTCTGGCTGCTACGCAGCAAAAACATGATGCAGTTGAATGAATATTGGTACTTTTCCAAGGAGGTTCAGGTTACGAATGTCATCAAAAATTGTTGAACTATTTAGAATCTCAAAAAGAGTCAAATGGACCCTGAAGCGGGCCAACCTGATGGCAGATGGTCTGGACATCACACAAGAGGAATGCGATGGAACGGAGATTGGGTTATGACAGATGCACTTTCCTGACTGATCCAAAGTTTTCGGTACATTATCTTCCAAATCAAAGCAGACGAACCGACCTACTGTCAGGATTCACAGCACTACACTGAGCTTCTAATGAACAGATCTGATTAAAAACTGGCTTTGTGAACAACCCGCAACAGATTTAGGAATGAAACTGAAGAACTTTTGTTTGCTATCTCAGAATTTTATCTAAACCTTTTTCTTTATTCGAATGCACATGAAGCTGGTAAAAAAAAACAAAAAAACAATCAGATGCAGGCAATGAGCATGTTTTGGGTCCACATGCACAGAGGTTCTGAAAGGGCATCGGACTGGACGGATGTAGACACGGCACATTCACACTCCTGCAGGAGGACCAGAAACACACAGCTTTACTTACTCTCTAAATTTCCATCAAAATGATACCCGGTGAAAAATAAATTAATGAAAATAAAAAAAAAAAAACAGAAAGAAAGAAAGGAAGAAAGAAAGGAAATGGTAATTGACTTATGCTGCTTTTAACTGTTTACAGACACATTAGCAAAAAGCATACAGGTGTAGAAGAAGGTAAGTCATGATTTAAATTATGGCTGCAGCAAACGATTATTTTATTAAAGCAATTATTCAGACGGTTAATCGAATTTTAAAAATGGCATCTTCTTCAACCACCTATGCTTATTCTATACAATATTAAAAATATATATAAAACATAAAAATAAGAATTCAATTCCCTTTTCTAAGAAAAACATTAATTCC